CAAAGCCAACTGGCCGCCTCAGTGTCTCGCTGGCTTGGTCGCCTCCAAACTTGCAGTGCAGAAGAGCCCGCTGCGGCGCTCCTGATCAATGCGCAGGCTTTTCCCCAGACTCAACTCTTGGGCCCTGGACTCTCGACCTGGAGCCCCTGAGAGCCCGGTGCCCGGGTGCCCCGCACCCCTAGCACCTATGGGTAAGACGGCCCTGATCAAGGCTTATAACCTCCAAGTGAGGTCATATCTCACTCTCCAAGTGGATTTCAGCATGCAAGGAGCTCTAAACTAGTCACTCCAGCCGCATGGTTTTAACCAGCCTCTTTTTGTTTCAGACCAGAATGGAATCTGAAACAAATATTTTTCTCCACCAATAGTTTAGTAACTTTTACCTTTTGTAATTAAGCAGCATCTTTTCTGACTGCTGTATAGAAAAGCACCTGAATCTGACATTTGAAGAGTTTCGCAAGGAGTCCATTGTATGACTTACTAAAAACATTTGTTCTGTGTCTATGCTAGGGAAGTGAGATCGCTTGGAAAGAGCTTTTAAAAGAGGGCATTTCAGGGACTCACTGGAAGGTTTTACACATCTTTCTTTGCTGCTTGTACTGTGGTGTTAAATCTCTGCTGGGGTTCTCTCACCCAAGAGTGCTTGCCCCAAACTTGGGTCTTGGCTTCCAAGATTCCAACACTTTACACCATAGAAACCAACAGCAGCAATACAATCCATGACACATCGACAAGGGGTAGATTTCAGGGGAGGCAACCCAGGCAAAGAACTGGATCATCTGGCTAGGAGGAACACCTGCCCGATACAACCATCCACTAAGTAGCTGAATCAAAGCGTTCATATGGCATGAATAAATACAGATTTATAGATCATAGCTTTGCATTTATCATCTTATGTGGAAGAGAAAGCATGTGTTAAACAAAACAAGGTATCCAAAGTTGAAGGAATGGGGGGGTACTAAAGATTCTTCTTGCTGAGGACCAATGCTGAGCGTTGGGCGCAACTGCTTCCAACATCGGAAGCACTATGCCTCTGAATACCAGTTGCCCAGTAGTGGACTGTAGGGTTGAGCTATAGCACTTACTTGACCTCCCAGCAGCTGGGTCACCGCTGCTTACTAGGAGGGAGAGTGGGAAAGGCAAGGCGGAAAGGTTGGTGTTGTGCAAACACACTAGCAAGAGCACCATATTGGTTCTGCCAGTGTGTTTGCACAGTGCTGACCTCCCTCCTGCCTTGCCTTTTCCACTCTCCCTCCTGGGGAGGAGAGGCATCTCCACTTCTGGGAGGTCAGGTACGTGCCACAACCCCACCCCACCATCCACTACTGCAGCTGCTGGGATGCAAAAGTGGGGACGGCACTTCTGTGCACTGGTCCTGTTTGCAGGATTCCCATAGGCATCTGGTAGGCCAGTGTGAGAGCAGGATGCTGGATTAGATGGGCCTTTGGACTGATCCAGCCCACAATAACCCCAGGCGTTGAGAAACCCATCTATGTCTACTCGCATAATAGAATGCCACAGAACGTTCAGATGAACAGCTGGGAGAAGGCGGCTTTCCTAAAGCTTCTCAGCTGCTTCACACCAAAGACAAGACTTGAACCAGGGACTTCCCTTCTCACTGTTCAGTGAATGGGAGTCCATGCTAGAGTAAGCAGTCTTGAGTGCTGCAAGCCAGGCAGAATAATTCCTGCCCGTTCAGTGTAGTAGCCCCCGGCCCCAGGAACAAGCCCTCCAAGGGATGATCAGAAGCCACATAAACATTTCGCAGCAAAGCTACAAGGTAATTCTCTAGTTAAGAAATTAGTTTCATTGATTAATTATATTCAATACTCGGCGGCCTAGAGAAAGAGAGCTCACATGATGAATAGAGCCTATGTTTCTAATGATGTTTTCCTACAATGAATGATTTGTCAATACTGTTAAATGGAACTCCAGCTGAAACGTGGGGCGATATATTTAAAACAAATGATCAGAGGCAATCAGATACACAAACGTTGTCTCTAGCCTCAGCTGCAGAAGTGTTTCAGAAGAGGCAACAAACAGGAACAAGGGGCTTGTGGGGGGAAGTTAGGTAAGCGTAAAATCTTTTTGTGGGCTCTTTTCTTCTTTTTTGGGGGGGTGGAGGATGAGAGGCTCAGCGGCTGGGGGCTTCTGTGATTCGTCGGAAGAGGGGCTTTTAAAAAGACATTTCTTTCTGTTATTCATCTTAAATGTAAATGGTGGATTAAAAAAGGAAGAAAAAGAGGAGGGGAGACAAACTCCAGCAAATCCCATTAATAAAGAAAGCATGAAAATAAAGGCAGCAGGGATGGACTGGAAGGAATATATATATATATATATATATATATATATATATATATATATATATCCTTCTTCTCCATCACCACTTCTTCCAGTGCTGCAGGAGCATTAAATATATTCTGCTGAAAAACTGAATGCCACAGTCCCTGCGTTTATTTAAGAGGATTGCAAAGGCTAACGCCAGAACCAGCCGACTTACTACAACATTTCACTCCCCACCCCCTTCCCTTTTAATCAAAACATGGAATCGGATGGTCCAAACCGTGTTGCCCACTTGGGTTTTGTGCAAGTCACTAAATCAGCCCCTGTGGTGTCTTAGCTCTTTGTCTGAACCAAGAACAATGTGAATTTTTTGGTGCCCTTTTGGTGAATGGGCCCATCCCATCACCCCTGTCCCTAATCACCCGTGATCTTCTCATCAGATGTGCCCTCAGTTCCCTGTAGCTGTCAAGTGGCAAAGAATCACTTGGTATTTCATATTGATGGGGTTTTTTATTTTTAAAAAAAACATAGCAAAAGATCTATGGTGAAATGCCACCCAGCATTTCTTGACGACACCTTTATTACCAAGAACCCTTTTAGCAATTGTTCACAGCAATTAATTATTTTGGAAATGGATGCATTAAAAAAAAAGGTTAACATTTATCCTTAGAGGAGCACAAGTAATTTGTGATAGATACAGACTGCTTTATTAGCACAGAGAGATTTTATTTTAAGACAAAAAAGGACCATTAAATCCCATAAAAAGCAGAATATTTCTGCAATTAGCTGCTTGCTGAAAGCCTTGCTCTTTCCCAAGTATGAACCTGGGATATAAAATATGGCCCAGAGAGCTCACTGATGGAGACCAAGGATCTATATCGTTGAGAGGCCAAGCCTAATTTCTTTTATGTCACCTTCCCCTTGCCTCAGCTCTAACAGCTTCATTGCGTATGGTTATATCCCAGGGAGAGTTAATTGCAATTCAAATGATTCTTTGTAATGCAAATAAATTCCAGCCAGGTGTTTCCCACCATCCTTTTCTTTACACCACTTCCTGCCCCTCGTAAAACAGGAGAAAGACCTCTACAGAGCATGTTTCAGCAGAGCGGATGAGAATCGCCTCAAGAAAGTAACGTGGAAGGAAATCACCCAGGAGGGGAGAATAACTATAAGGGAAATAACAGACATGTTATGATGATGAAGAAGAGAAGGCCAGGTTGGGTTGGTGCCAGATCCTGCGAAGGAGATGAACTGAAGTGAAGGCAGTTGCTCCAAGGGGATGCTTTATAATCTATCAGCGCCTCTCTGTAGCCAGCGTTTGAACACTCATGCACAAATGCACAAGCACACCCATCACCACCCATCTGACTCCTAGTGACTGATAAGCTACTGCGCTTAACTCGTTTAAAGACACACCGAACAGCAATGCCTATGGAAGAACCTTGTGTGGCCGGAAAGCTTGCAAACGTTCTCAGTGCAAGCATCTTATGATTCCCAATCTCCCTTCCCAACCCTCCTCCCCTTCAGTTCATTTGCCTGATTCCACTGTCTTTCCACATCCTCTTTCCTTCCTCTGTTTCCTGGCTGCTGCTCCCAGTCATTCTTCAGCTGCCAATAACTAGCAAACACCATGCACAGAAGATTCAGATGCACTAGCAGCCTTGTGATTCTCACAAACGCTTCTCCAGCGTGTTGTGTGGGGGTGTCTCTCTCGCACACCCTCCGTGGGGCTTCCTCCTTGCCCCCCACAACTGCACGCTCCTCTGCCAACGCACCTCTGTCTCGCCCCCAAAAAGACTTTTCTCTATCCTCCCCAAACACAGAGCCACTTATTAAGAAGCTGGTCACTAAGGAGTCAAGCCTAGGTGAAGTATATCACAGAGATTGCAGCCAGAGGCTGAGAACCACAGGAGAGGACAGGTCAAGAATTCATGCATTTTAAAAGCACAGGGAGAAGAAAATGTTTGGGGAGAGTGTTACTGGAAAACTAGCCCATTCCCCCCAAAAATCCCACTGCTTCTGGCTTTTTGAAGCAAAGATTATGGGCTTTTTCTCCGCTAAGGGCAAATATGAACAGAGCCCCAAACGTACAACCAAAGCCTTAATCAATAAATGCCCCCCCTCCACTTCTACAAGGATCAAGCCGTCTCCTCCACCCTATTCTTAACTGATGGTGCTGACTCCCTCGAATTAAATGGGCTTTATTTATAAGAGCTGCAGCAAATACCTTGATATATAAAGACTTTTTAGTTCCACTTGTCAAGTTTCTCCTAGGCACATAAATAATAAAGGCCGGCTTTTGCCTGCTGCTTATGTATGCTGTGTTAATGCAGACTGCTGTGGAAGAAGAGGAAGTATACCCCAAAAAGGGGAAAGAGTGGGGGGGGAGCTGTTCCTTTAATCAGAAGATACTGGCATGTGTGTTTGAAATCCAGCTCTCCCATACAGACAAAACATGCCTAGAGCAGACATAAACTCTTATAATATTGGAGAGGGGGGGGGTTAATCAGATTTAATACTAGAGCGCACACAAAGACAATTCAGATATATTTTGCGGGGGAAGCATAGGAGAGATTTGGACCTGAGGTGGGGGGGGACGGCGGAGAGAGAAATGAACCCCTTCTGGGGAAAGCGATGGGGAGAAAGAGGCAAGTTATTGGAAAGCCCAGATAGATAACATGCTGGCGTCTTGGAAAGGACAGAAATAGATGCCTTACCTTATCAAACTACTCCTCCTTTTGTACCTGATCTGCAATCATAAATACTTGGAGAAGAAGAGGAAGCTAAGTTGAAGGCTGGGTCTTGTTTTAGGAAAAGAAAAAAACAAGGGGGGAGCAAGCAACGTGCATGTCTTTAATGCTCCTCTTCTGGAAAGGGACTCGACGGAAGAATGTGCCAAGCTGATTCCTTAGTATCCATTAGCTCCCTAGAGGATTCCAAATGTCTTGAGGAGAGGAGAGGGGAGAGGCGTCCAGGAGAGGTAGGGTGGCGAGGAGAAGGGAATTTGGTGGGGAAGGGGAGGAAGGAGAAAAGAAGAAAATCGCAAAATCTGTGCCTTTCTACATCCAGCGAGAGGCTGTCGCTGCGACCGATCCTACACCAACGCCCCCCTCCCCACTCACCCCACCCCCCCAAAAAAGGAGCGGGAGAAAGGAGAATTTCAGAAGACGTGTCTCGCTACAAACTTGGCAAGCCAAACGTAGAAACACGTCGGGAGAGAGGAAATTAATTTCTAGAATTATTTGCAGAGAGAAAAGTCACTTGCAAGGAGGGGAATTGCAGCTCTGTATCTATAGATAGATATCATGCAAAATCCCCAAGGGTGAGTAAAAAAAAAATTATTATTTAAAATTTTAAAAAAAGGAAGGAGAGAAGGATGAAGGGAGAAGGGAGAAGGGGGATCAGGGAAGAGCAGCACACAGTGGCCCAAGGAGACGGTATCACGAAGGAGACAGAAGGCTGTACATCCGTAGGCAAAGGGAGCATCAGCCGCTTTCCAAATTCGAGGAAAGGCTCCTGCAGTTCAGTTGCCTTTTTCGCCCCCCTTCCGCTGCTGCTGCCGCCGCTGCTGCTACCTGTAGACATAAGAGGGAGGCGCGGGCACGCTCAGGCGCGCGCGCGCGCGCTCACGGTCACACGCCGCTACGCGCGCCGAACAGCCTCGCAGCTGTGTGCGGAGCGCGCGCGCGAAGGGGCGCGCTTGCACAGCAGCAGCAGCAGCAGCCGAGGCGAGCACAATCAAAGCTAGGAGAACAAGGAATGCACGCAGGCTTTCGTCCACCTCTAGCTTTTCCCCATCTCCATTGCATGACTGGGGAGAAGTTGCAGAGGGAGGTGGGGGGCAATCCCTGGGAAGCGAGGGGATCCCTCGCTTGGGGAGGGCTGTGTGTGTGTGTGTGTGTGTGTGCCTGCACGCGCCTGCGCGCAGAGCCCTCGTCCAACCCGCCCCCGCTGTTAGCGTTCACTGACACACACCCCCACATAAACACACATATGCATGCACACAACTCCCGTTTTTCCGCTTTGGCTGGCAGCAGCGTGGTGGCAGCACTGAGGGTGACAAAGGTCCCGGCGTGAACTGTGACGTGGAACAGGGAAATTAAAGAAAAACGGAGCGGAGGAGGGGGGGATCCACACTGTGTGTGTGTGTGTGTGTGTGTGTGTGTGTGTTTCGGGCCGGGGGTGCCGACGGAGGGAGGCAGCAGCGTTTCTGCAAATGCTGGCCTTGAAAGTCCGTCCCCATCCTTTCTCTCCCTCAAATATACTCAGAGTCGCAAGGTGATTTCATGCTCTTTATTCAGCTCATAGTGGTGAGGAGGAATGAATGAAAGTCCCCTCAAAGTATCTGCTTTATATACATTATTTACACAATGGGCTGCACATGCTTGGCTAATTCCGGAATTCTACTGTAAGCCAATCAGGTTGTGGATTCACTTCTATCTGGAGCATGATTGGGTGGTTCCTGCCAACCAATCATAGTGCTGCATTGTTCTAGGAACACTCAGACTGCTGCATTCTGAATCCTATTGATCTAGGACCAATCAGACTGCTGCATTTTGGATCCTATTGTTCTGGGACCAATCAGACTGCTGCAGTTTGGATCCTATTCAACTCAGTACATAACACTCCCCCAGTATTCTCGTGCAGAGGTAGAACTTCCAGGGAGAGAAGCAGGCCGGCAGTATAGAATCGCAGAGTTGGAAGGGAACCCCCGGGGCCTCTTGTCCAACCTCCCGCAATGCAAGAATTTCATCTCGTTCGTGCATGGCAGATGGTCACCCAACCTCTGCTTAAAAACCTCCAGTGTAGGAGAATCCACACACTCGCCACAAGGGAGCCCATTCTAGTGTCGAACTGCTCCTACTGTCAGAAAGTTCTTCCTGATGCTTAGTCAGAACCTCCTTTTTTGTAACTTGAATTCACATCTTCCATGTGACAGCCCTTCAGATATTTGAAGATGGCTATTATCTCCTCTTAAGGGACGCGGGTGGCGCTGTGGGTTAAACCACAGAGCCTAGGACTTGCCGATCAGAAGGTTGGCGGTTCAAATCCCCGCGACGGGGTGAGCTCCCATTGCTCGGTCCCTGCTCCTGCCAACCTAGCAGTTCGAAAGCACATCAAAGTGCAAGTAACTAAATAGGTACCACTCCAGTGGGAAGGCAAACGGCATTTCCATGCGCTGCTCTGGTTTGCCAGAAGCGGCTTAGTCATGCTGGCCACATGACCCGGAAGCTGTACGCTGGCTCCCTCGGCCAATAAAGCGAGATGAGCGCCGCAACCCCAGAGTTGGTCACGACTGGACCTAATGGTCAGGGGTCCCTTTACTACCTTTATTATCTCCTCTCAGTCTCCTTTTATCCAGGCTAAACATACTCAACTCCCTCAACAGTTCCTCATAAGGCTTGTCTTGTCTTCCAGACCCTTAATCATCTTAGTCAACCCTTCCCAGCACACATTCCAGCTTGTCAACATCCTTCTTAAATTGTGCTGCCCAGAATGGGATACAGTATTCCAGGTGTGGGTGCCAACTTGAATAAAATATTGTGGGGGCCCAGATAAGCCACACCCCGCATAATCGATCGCATGACACAGCACATGCATACCACTGTGCTCATCAACTCTGTGGGGGCCCAGCTCCCTCAAATATTTTATTGTGAGGGCCCAGCCCCTAGGAGTTGGTTCGTATGCCAAGACAGAATAGAGTGGAACTATTACTTCCCTTGATCTGGACCAGGGGTCAGCAAACTTTTTCAGCAGGGGGCCGGTCCACTGTCTCTCAGACCTTGTGGGGGGCCAGACTATTTTTTTTGGGGGGGAGAACAAATTCCTATGCCCCACAAATAACTCAGAGATGCATTTTAAATAAATGCACACATTCTACTTGTGTCAAAACATGCTGATTCCTGGACCGTCTGTGGGCTGGATTTAGAAGTTGATTGGCCCACATCCAGCCCCTGGGCCTTAGTTTGCCTATCTGGACACTATCCTTCCATCTACTGCACCAAGCACACATTTAAAGCACATGACTTCCCCCCTCAGAGAATCCCGGGAACTGTACCTCTGTGAATGAAGGAGAGAACTACAGTTCCCATGGTTCTTTGGGGAAGCCGTGTGCTTTATTTGTGTCAAAGGCATGTTGTTAGACATGTTTCAGCTGTTCACGTTTAAAGGAAAACTTACCGGATTTTCCCTTTCTGAAACAATAGGCGCAGCCATCCTTCCACACTTGCACTTCTCTAACTGTGCTGCAGTTCTCCAGCCAAGTAGTGTGTGCAAAAATGCATATACTAGGATGAGGTGTGCACTTTTGTTCAGTGGTATAGTGCTTCATCCATCCACAGCAGTGACCAGAGGAGAATTGACTGCCGGGAGGAGCACAGCTAAAAGAAATACTGTATTTTTCGCTCCATAAGATGCACTTTTTTCTTCCTAAAAAGTAAGGGGAAATGTCTATGCGTCTTATGGAGCAAATGCGTGGGCCCTGGAGCCTAATTGCCCAGGGGAGAAAAGCAGATCATGTTTTTTTTAAAAAAAAAGAGGGAAGTGGGTGTTGAAACAAAGCCGCTAATCAGCAAGTGATTGGGGAGGGAGATAAGGGATGCTAGCAATAAAGGAGGCTGCCTGGGAGGAGAGAGGTAAAGACAACGAACTTGCAAGGAGAGGAGACAGGAAGACTAAAGAAATGAGGAGAGAAATTAGAAGAAAAGGAGAAGCAAAAAAACTGCTCCAGATAAGGAAAAGACACTAAGGCAAACATGAGGAAAGGGAGTGGTGAAAGGAAACTAGCTGATGGGCAAGCAATCGGGGAGGGAGATAAGGGAGATAAGAGATAAAGGAGACTTCCTGGGAGTGGGGAGGTAAAAGCCCATGGATCCTCAGGATTTTTGCATTGGGTCACCCCAAATTCACCATCAGATCACATAGCATGTCTGTGGCTACAGCCTGCACCCAAAAAATCACGCACCCACTGTTGCATGGGGCCACAATGGCACAAAAACGTGGTTACAAAGCATGGATCCACATGGACCCTCAGGACTTTTGCATTGGGCTACCCCAAACTCACCGTCATATCACATGTCTGTGGCATCCACTGTTTCATTCAGAATATTTTTTTTCTTGTTTTCCTCCTCTCAAAACTAGGTGCATCTTATGGTCAGGTGCATCTTATGGCAGCATTAGCACAACTGTGGATGCCTTCAAAACATAGAATCATAGAATTATGGAGTTGGAAGGGACCCTGATGATCATCTAAGTCCAACCCCTTGCAATGCAAGAATATACAACCATCCCATACGGGGACTGAACCTGCAACCTTGGCATCATCAGCACCACACTCTAACCAACTGAGCTATCCTCCCACATCAGTCTCTACAACCAAAGCAGGCACTCTAACTCTACAACACCCCTGAAGGCGCACTCTTCCATTGTCTTCCGGGACAGACAGATGCCAATAACAACTGCTTCTGAACATGGAAGCCCTGAAGAGCCATCGTGACTAAAGATTATGGGGACTGAAGTGAAGGGTACTATGTCAGTGATAGAGCATCTGCTTTCCACAGCACCACTAGGTGGGGATGGGAATGTCCCCTGCCTGAAACCCTGGAGAGCCACTTCTAGTTAGTCCCCAGAAAAGTTCCCCTACAAAGAAATGTAGCCTTCTTGCTGAAGAAAAAGGTTCCCCACCGAACAGAATGGTGGGAGCAGGACACTGGACCAGATTGGCCTTTGCTGTGATCAAGCATTGGCTCTTGTTGTGCTCATATGTTCTTAATTCCATCATAAGATGTGGTGGGACAAATGGCAGTCGCTTCCAAGGTCCCTGAATGCGAAACATATGGGGACTCTGAACCTGTCTGCCTGAGGATGCTCCATAGATAATTCAGCTACAGCTCTTCTGCTACATTGTCACCAATGCCAGACACCTGGAACACAAACCAGGAAGCTCTTATGGCCTACAGGTGGGACGTTGGATGACCATTTGGACATTGGTGGCCTAGATATAATGTGCGAATCTGACCATCGTCCAGGTTCCTCTTAGCGCTTGCAAATACACACCAAGAGCTCTTTTGTGAGAAAAAGGCAGAATAGCCCAACTGTTCAATCACTGCAAATGGACAAGCAGACGGGACGGAATATTGTATTCTTTTAGCGGTGGTGTTGGATACACGGCAGGCTGGCCATTCTGCAGAGATTCCAAAAGATATCCCGCTTCCATGCGGTAACAGCCCTTTGTTGTCCGTGTGACATTGGGGCCTTAAACCAGAAATCTGGGCCAGCCGTGCCAAAAATGTGCTGCCTTTTTAGACGGCCAGATAAAATTGTGATTTAACACTGGGGAAATGTGAAGAGTTTGGACGGGGCTCCTTCTCTTTTACATGCCAGCTTCTAATTTCTTTGGAAACAGGGTCAGACATCCCATCTGCCGTACGGCCTGAGACGAGGTTGACTCAGTCGCATGGAGAATGGGAGCCTTCTGCAGGGACCAGCTTAATCTAATCTCAGAAAAACAGGTGAGGCTCTTCTTCCTTCTGCTGGTGCCTCAAGCACAAATGGATGCCCGTCTCCTGACTCGGGTGTGGGCGAACGCCAGAGGGAGAAACCCAGAGATTTAATCACAGGTTTGTGATGCTGCATGTAATAAAAATCAGTGGAAGCTGGACCGTTAAGGCAAGTGGGGCATTGGGCAGCTTTCGGTGGCTCCAGAAGCCCACACACCAGTGTCTGTTAAGAAGTGTCTGTCCGCAGGATCAGGCCAGTCCAGCTACCTGTTCCCACAGTGGCCAATCAGATGAGAAAGGGGCAAGCTGGATCCAGACACAAGAGCACTCTCTCATTCTGCAATTTCCAGCA